CCGCGTATGTCCGCCTTGTTGCTGTCTGCACGTGCATGCCTGTCTGCCCATGCACTTTGACTGTGACTGCTGCTCAACACCTGAGAGCTGTTCCCTCCGCGCACGCCGGCGCACGGCCAGCGGGCCCTTGCTACTGCCTGCATGATAGGGTGGAGGCCAGCATCAAATAGCGGCTCTCGAATTGGTCAGCTGCCGGACGCACAATGGCCTGATTTCGAACACTTTCGAGCTCCAGCCGTTGACCAGACGAGCAGCCTGCGAGCATCGGACAGCTTCGACGAGCCAGGAGAGCTCCGTTCATGTAAGCATCATTATGTACAGGAATGTTCTCGGACAAGCGCTGCTTCAGGCGAAGCCAGGACCTGATCTCACGCGAGACAGAGCACCACCGCACGCCCACACCTGAACGGCACTGGTTCTTTCGACGATGTATTCAATGCCACGCTCGTCATCCACTGACTACACCTTCTCTACATTTTCCAGAGCCTTCAACCTGAGCCTCACTGCGTTCGCGTGGGCCTCCAAGTCCTCGCATTCCGCGAGGTGCACGACGTGTGGTCCCAAAGCTTTGAGCCCTTCAGCCGTCAAATTCTGACTTGTGATGCGCTTCACAAAGGTGTCCGTGTTGACGCCCGAATATTGTCTGCAGGGCAGGCGGATAGCAGAAATGTCAGGCAGAATCGCAGAGACACGCACAGCCCACTCTAAACTCACCTCGCAAAAGCGTTCGTCGGCAGCGAGTGGTTGGTGCCTGAAGCATAGTCTCCGCAGCTTTCGGGGCTCCATTGCCCGACGAAAATGCTTCCAGCATTGATCACGCTCTTTGCGAGTAGCTCTGCTTCCTCGGTCTGTATGATGAGGTGTTCAGGCGCATACGCGTTGCTCCACTTCATCGCCTCTTCTCGGTTCGGCACCCGAATGGTCACGCTCTTTTCGATGGCCTTGCGAACGAAGGCGCACCTTGGCAAAGCTTTGGCTTGTCTATCCACCGCTTCCTCGATCGAAGCTAGCTGGGCATCTGTGAGCGAAATGGCCACTAAGACCACTTGAGAATCGGGGCCGTGCTCCGCCTGAGAAAGGAGATCCGATGCCACAAAGTCCGGGTTGGAAGACGCGTCGGCGATGACCAGGACCTCTGATGGGCCTGCAGGCATATCGATGGAGACGCAAGCATCCATGTCGTTCTGCACCAACAGCTTCGCAGCAGTCACGAACTGATTGCCTGGACCGCAAATCTTGTCAACTTTGGGCACCGTGGCCGTGCCGTATGCGAGTGCGCCGACAGCCTGAGCTCCGCCTGCGGCGAGAATGCCGGTAGCACCGGTCAAGTGGGCAGCGTACATGACCTCCGGTGCGATGGATCCATCAGGACGAGGGGGCGTGGCGATGATGCGAGTGGGGCAACGAGCGACCTGAGCCGGTACGCCGAGCATGAGCGCAGTTGACGGCAGCACTGCCGTTCCTCCAGGGACGTATAGACCGACCCTCTCGATAGGTCGAGCGAAGCGTCTGCAAACCACACCCGGCATCGTCTCGACTTCCAAGATGGCATCCTCCGCTTCCTCTCCCGTCTGCTCGTCCACACCCGCCGCACCTGCCTTGGCAGCCTTGACGTTGCCTCCGGTCCGCTTTTGGGCCAGGTGGAAAGCGTAGATGTTCGAATAGGCCTGATCCATAGCTGCCTTGACTTCGGGTTTAATCCGCTTCATGACTTCGGGAGTGCCGAAGGGCGGGTAGAACATGGGCGAGGAGAGCTTGGCCTTGTCAAACTTTTCCGTAAGCTCCAGCAAAGCTGCATCTCCCCTCTCCTTGACTGATGCCAGGATAGGCCTGCAGAGTTCCTGGATCGCTGCCGAACGCAACGCCGGGCGCTTCAATAGACTGGCGCGCTCTTGTTGCGACAGCTGCTCTAGGTGATAGGACTGGATCTTGATGGGGGCGTTCGGGTCTGCCTCTGCGGTAGCAGCGGGTGCAGCCGACCCATTGATTTTGCTTCCGCCATTGACTGCAGGCTGTTCAAATTGAGGTTTCGCATTGCCAGCGCGCCGGGTGATCTTCTTCGCCTTCAAGTCGAGGCTATTCTCTACCTGTTCGAGACTGACGCCTGCTTTGATGCACCTGGCCAACGCAAAGTACAGCAGGTCGGCGGCTTCGAAGGCTACGTGGCTGGGATCCTCATCCTTTGCGTCTGCAAGCTCTTGTGCTTCTTCTCGAATCTTGGCGCTGAGCAGCTTGGGATCGGAGAAGATGCGGGCAGTGTAGGAGCCTGGCGGAGCGTTTGCCTTTCTCGAGAGCAGCGTTCGTTCGAGTGCCGCAAGGCCGCCAGTCGGACCGAAGCAGCTCTCGCGCTCAGTGAGGTGGCAGAAGCCGGCGTGCTGGGCACCTGCTCGCTGCCTCACTCGGAATTCGATGGCATCAGAGTCGCAGTCGAACCGGATGCGCACTACTTCTTGAGTCGCCCCGCTCGTCTCTCCCTTGCGCCAAAGACCTCGCTTGCGACTCTGGTAGACTGCAGATCCAGTCAGGAGAGATTCTCGAATGGAGGCAATGGAAGAGTACACCAGGCCAAGGGAGGTTGAGAGGGAGGCAGAAACCACAGTGGTTGGAAAGTGGCCATCAGCCCTGTCCGACACCAGCGACGCGGTGAGCGCCCCGACGAGGTCAAGAGTGCCGGGTGGAGCTTGCTGACCTTCGGCAACCAGAGCGAGGGCAGACGTCCTAACCACCAGCGAAGCAGACAACTTTGCCAGTCGGGCTGCGTCGTCGATTGTTGCTGACGCAGGTGCAGCACCAGGAGTCAGAGTGTTGAATGGTGAAACGTAAACCGGCTTTCCAGACTCTTGAGCGCTGATGGCAGCCGAGTAGCTGCTAATGATATCACTGGCTTGCTGAGTGCCGCAGGCAATCGATGCGGGCAACGAGACGAGCACGCCGGCTAGTCCTTGAAGAGAACCCTGAGAAGTGGAGGGTGAGGCATCGTCCTCGGCTGGGATATGAATGACGACGCGCTCAGCTGGGATGCTGCTGGGCTGTCCACCTAGCAGTGCGAGTGCAGGAGCAGTGTCCCGGTCGAGGACCAACGCATCAGCGCCATTGTCCAACACGTCCGCCAATTCGTCAGGCGAGAGCGAGTGAAAGCTGGTGATGTGCACGAGGTAGGGCAAAGTAGGCGGCAGAGTTGATCTAACGTCGGCGAGGAGATGGTAAGGGACGAGAAGGGGACACGATCTTGAGATGACGCCCAAGAGAGCCGGCGTAGGCAAAGCGTCCAGCACAGGCAAGACCGAAGCGCTGAGAGTCACCATGCCCGCAATCGAGAGGAGGCGAGCGCAGCTATGGTAAAGTGCCTGTTTCAGTGGAAAGTAGAGGAGCTGCGACGGCTCGATCCGAAGTCGAAAGGGGGCTGGATTGCAATCGAGCCAGCGAGGGTTGATTGGGATGAGTGGGTTGGGGATGCAGATCGAGAGTCGAGCGCAGAGTCTGGCCGTCCTTGGCGCTCGAAGAAGATGCCTGATGCCTGTGCATGTGTCGATTCATTCACCGAGTCACAATCAAAAATAATCTCGCGCAGCTGCTGAAAGCACGCCCAGTCAGCAGGCTGATGAAATCTTGCACCATACAAGACACGAGTTACGCGGGCAAACAAGTCAAGTCTCGAACAAATGCTCGATGACTTACTGTACTTGATCGCGATCGAAATTAAATTCATCGAGTTCGAATTTGAATCGAACCTTGGGGATTGCGTGAAGAATTGGAACGTTGTCACGTGACTTCGCGTGACCTGTCCTGCGTAGTCTTATCGCGCCGGCGATTGAAGATTCAAATTCTCTTCGAATTAAGGCGCATCGCGCATGCATGAAGCCGCACGTTTGTTATCATTGATGTCTTATTCGTGATTATTGCTCCGTCTGGAGCGAGATTCTTGAGTCACCAGCAGTCAATTAAGAGTCACGAGTGCGCGTACCTACAGCAGACGCAGCTGGAATCTTGAATACACGGGCGAGCCGGCGGTGGCGGTGCGGAGCGCGGTGTCGCGATTGCGAGTTTCAAAAATCACCGTCCATCATCATGTACTACTGTACGTGAGTAGGGGGCACGCAACGCAGCAGCTTTGCCGCACAGCGCCGACAAATTCAGCTCACGACTCTTGGTTTGAGCCTGCATGCTCGCCCTCTAGACCGTCGATGGAGATGTCACACCTGCCTCTCGCAAACAGCAGAGCAATTGGGGCGATTGCACGGGTGGACGTTCGAAATGGTGCTCGAAAGCTAGACGGACTGATGCGAGCAAAGCACGATGGGCATGCGTATCGGCAACAGCACGCTGCGGTCTGCTAATCGCTCTCGCGTCGCCACTGGAGGCAAGCGTCTGCCTGAACACGCGCTCGTGACTGCTTTCCTTCTACGTCTTGCCTCCTTCACGCCGTGATATTTGGTTTGAACCACACAACATTTTTGCTCGTCAAGATGAGCAAGACGGAGCTCAGTCCGAAAGAGCCGATATCCCTTGATTGGTCCGCAGGTGGCTCAGCATCCGTCAAGAAGGCAAGGGCAAGGGCAAGGGCAAGGGCAAGGGCAAGGGCAAGGGCAAGGGCAAGGGCAAGGGCAAGGGCAAGGCTGCGAGCACTCATCGCTGCTGCTGCGTCGAAGACACGCTAGTGATCATCCTTAGCGGTGCTGTGCTGCAGGATTTTGGAAGAAAGGGCGGGGCGGGCAAAGGTCCCGCAGACGCCGCGTCAGCACTTTCACTCACGACTGATCTGCTGAGACTCGAGCTCGAGACTCTCACACTGTTGTGAGACGCGGGACTGTTTGCCGCCTAAGCCTACGGATCTGCGGCAACTAGTTTGGCCGAAGCTCGATACCGCGAGGTTTGCTGCCAAGCTGATGAGACAGACGTTTGACGCTAATCGTATCGCTCCTCCCTTGGCCATGCGGACGAGAGGCGGTGCTCAGCAACGGACATTGCTGATTGTTTCATTCTGAAAGCACCAGCAAGCCATGTTCGACGCCTACTTAAGCCATCATGATCATGGCTCCCCTTCATCGTTCCGCAATCCTTCCTCGCTCACAGGCTCCCAGAAGATCCTGCCTTGCAATCTACTTGTAGCCCATCCGGATAGCACACACACGCTGTACTTGGTTCGTCAGGATGAGAAGCACATATCTGGCGGCCGAGCTGCTGGCCACTGCGATCCTCGCGTTCGCACTCGTTGGCAGAGTGGATGCGTATGCTCAAGGGCGAAGGTGAGCTGCGGATATGCTCTCCATTTGCGGGCATGCGAGCCAACAATCAAGCAGGCTGATGGTTCACCGCGCATCGAAACCATTGCAGTCTTCGGCGTATGAGCGGATTCGAAATCTTCATGGATAAGCAGGAAAGGCTGCAGCAGACCGTAGCGACCAAGCAAGTGGTGCTCGCAACGCAACAGCAGATTGGCGGCGAGTCAGCTCTGCAGGTGGCGTCTGCTTCAATTGGCAGCAACGATACGGATTATCCTGGTGTCAGAGCTGGCTTCCTCACCCAGCCTCTCGACCACTTTGACGGCACCACCAACGTGACCTTCCAGCAGAGATTTTGGTGCGTCATCCGCGTGCACAAGCCCTCCTGCGAGAGTGCGGCTCATCTCCTTGGGCCGTTTCTGAGCATGCAGGTACCATTTGAATTACTACAAACCGCCCGCCGAGCGAACCGGCTCTGTTGTCCCGCTCTTCATCACTGACCCAGGAGAGCAGGATGCCGAGCCGCTCGTCAAAAGCCTTGTAAGCGTCACAAACGGACGAAAAGGAGGAGCCTTGAGCTCAATGCGTTGCCTGGCTGATTTGCGTGCGACTCTTGGCTCGTCTGGCAGTACTCAGGCTGGATCGACAGGCTTGCGCGAGAAAATGCAGGCATCCCAATCGTGCTCGAGCATCGCTACTATGGCAAATCTTTTCCCAACCGTACAGAGCTGGGGGCCGGTGAATTTTGGCAGCCTGACGCCTTGCGCTGGCTTACCAACAAGCAAGCTCTCGAAGATGCCGCTCAATTCGTCCAGAAGGTCCGCTTCGAGAATGTGACGGAAGAGACGCTTCACTCCCCTGTGTCACCAGTCATTTACTACGGAGGATCCTATTCTGGCGCAAGATCGGCCCACCTTCGTCTCCTTTACCCCGATCTCATCTACGGATCGATCGCCAGCTCAGGTGTCGTGCTCGCACACGAGAACTACCCCGAATACTTCTTCCCCATCTCACGCGGTCTGCAAGACAATTGCAACCAAGCTCTGCAAGCTTCTATCGGCTTCATCGACAGCATCATCGCACCTGAGCCCGAAAAGGGCCAAGTTCAGCCTACCAGAGACCAGAACGCAACGACCGCCATCCAGGCGCTGTTCGGCCTCGAGGGGCTCTCCAACCCCGCGGACTTTGCAAACGTCCTCTCGATCCCTCTGGGTGATTTCCAAAGCCAAAGGTGGGACTACGCGAACACGAAGACCAAAGCGGTCTATGCTCTGTGCGATGCCATCACCAACACTACAAACAGCGGTCCGAAGCCCGCCAACCCGGCTCGCCGAGGAGAGGAACCAACTGCTGTGATTCAGGGCAAACAAGTGCCTGAAACGGTGGTCCGCTTTGGAAAGTACATCAAGGAAGCTTATGTCAAACCCTGCGTTGCTGGTGACGAAGGTTCTACGGTCGAGCGTTGCTTTGGATCGAGCGACTGGAGCTACTACACCAATGCTACAGATCCCAACCCTGTTTCTTGGCCCTTCCAGTTCTGCACAACTTGGGGTTACTTGCAGACCGCTGCACCTCAAAATGCTACCAACGACCCGTACGCCACCAACTTCACAAACCCCAGACTCGTGAGCTCCCTGCTTGACATCGAATACATTGGGGAAATTTGCCGTTCGGTGAGTGCAGACGTCGGCCTTCCCGAGAGGCACGCAAATCGGAGTACAGATAACCTAAGGTGTCCATTGCTTTGACTTTTGTGCTTTGGACAGGCTTTCAAAGACGGCCAGCATTACTCGATGTGAGTATGATCTCACCGGCCGAGCCGTGCCGTGACTCGAGACGCCATACTGACGCTCGTTGAATTGGTCGCTTGACAGCCCCGCTCATCCCAACGTGACCGAGGTCAACAGCCTTGGCGCTTTGAACATTACGATGGACCGTCTTGCATTCATCAATGGACAATACGACCCATGGAGGCCCATGACGACTGCCAGCGAAGAGTTTGGCGACGGCGGCGCAAGTCGCGAAGACACGACGCTGAGGCCCTTCAAGATCATTCCTACGTGCTACCACGTCTGCGACTCGAGCTCCGGCACGCCAGGCAACAAGACTAGCGATCCTGCGCCTCGAGTCAAAAAGGTGCAGGACGAAGTGGGTGCTGCGGTGACGAGCTGGCTGGCAGACTTTGTCGCGCCACCTGCAAACACCACCATCGAGACTGGTAACCGCTTCCATGCAGTTGCAGTCCTAGGCCATTGATCCGTGCGAATCCTCGAACCAAGACAAATCTCCTCTCTGCCGCTCTCTATGCGAGCATGATGTTCGACTTCTCAACTTGCCCAGCCACGCCACGATCTTCGTGCTCTCTAGCTTGTGCACACTGATGCAGCATGCTCGCCTGCATCTTGCTTATCATATCCCTTTGCTAGCTTTTCGTTTTCATGCTCACAATGACCGCAATGTCCCGATGTGCTGCTGTCGAGCAGATCGAAATATCAATACATCATCTGATTCTTTAGAAAAGACTCGCCCGTCGATTGACGTTTTGAGCCGTTGAAGGTCCGAACTTGGCGGCTCTTTAGCGACACCGAGAATGAACGATTGCTGCACCGTGCTCCTCATACTCCTGCTTGCTGATCCATAGCTGGTGAAAAGTACCCAGACTAGCAAGTATACTGCCACCAAGCCAAGAGCTGAACCTCCTTTCCACCGTGTTGCCCGGACTATGAATTTTGATCTTTTGCTGTAGTTTTAGTAGCCCCGCACATGGAGAAAGCTTCGATTAGCGTAAGAATTCTGGCGCAGGGGTGTTGTACGACTCACAGATGGTGCAGCCACGCTGAGCTCATAAGACAAGCGATCGTTGAATCCAGGTATGCAACTTCCTCCTCCCACACAGACCACATTTCCAAACAAAGCAGGTCGAGAATCGACATCGGTGCTGTTGATGGCATCCAGCACGAGCTGTGGGATGGACAATAGGCTCGAAGTGCCAGACGTCGGAGCTGGGAGCTGCAAACAAATGGGTGGTGGAAAGGGTCGCTCCTCCATTGAATACACAAGTCGCTTTGAGCTCACGACAGAGACATGTGTACTCACCACGCCGGGCTTATCACCCCACAGCTTTTGAGGAGAGAACATGACCTCCGGCGCTCTGAAGCGCTCAATTCCAAAAGTGTCCACGTATCCATCGGGGAATTCGAATGGTCGATTTGGTCTGATAGAAGCCTGACCATCCTCCCATCCCATCTCAAGCACCTGGGCCAGCGTCTCCTTGGCTTCATGTAGCACTCTATAATTGGTCAGGTGTCTATAGCTTTCCGATGCCGGCCTTTGGCGCAGGATAGCTTGAGACGCTTTCCCAGGGCCGACGACGGTCTTGCTGCGCACCAGATATTGCGGCACGATGTTGACCAGGCCACCAGCGCGCGGAGTTTGTTGCGGTGCGGAGGTGGAGAGATCATACAGCAGAGCACGTGATACGGCGTCGCCTCCCAGACCTGCAGAGCGCCGCACGCCTTTCCGCAACACGAAACCATCCACGACGGGTATAGCAGAAGCGTGAGTCGCACCCACGTCCAGCACAAGCGAGGTTGGCTTGCCTGCAGCGAACCTGCACGAGGAGAGAGGTGGACAAGAAGAAATCGCGCTCAGCCGCTAGACCTAACAAAAGCAATGACGGTATTTGGCGACTTACGAGCTCAAGACGGTGGAGTTGGCGAGGTAGAATGCCGGCGCCTCGAGCGCCTCGAACGCCAACTCGATCATCTCCTCTCTGCTCTCCTTTGTCGCCCACGCAGGCTCGCTTAGCAGCAAAGGGTGCTCGCAGACGTCTGCGCCCATCAGCCCGGTCAGAGCGTGTTGAGCGATAGCCAAGTATGCGGCTGGGGATGCGACTGTGAGAAGACCGAGGGTGAAGAGAAGCGAGTCGAGGGCGAATCAGATCACAAGTCAGCTGCATTCCCAAACCAACAGCAAACGTTGCGAGGCATCTCACTCACGCGTACCGTCCGTGAAGGGCGTGTCCACCTCTGCCCCTTCTCTCCAAGCATTAGAAGCCTCGCCAACAAACCTTCTTCGGCGTTGACCCTTGTCCAACGAGTACTTCTCCGGCAATTGTTTCCTCTTGCCATTGATCAGCGGCGCACCACCGTTGACGCGCCCATTACCAGTGGCGTTTCCATTCGACGCATCAGCTGCGTCCACATCCATAGCATCGCCATCGGCTGTGCTTTTGGGTGATGCCTGTCGCTCCTCGTTGGGATCGGGGAGCCAAGAGTAGGTGCTGGGCACGACTGCGCGTGGTGCGTCGTCCCCTGCCCAACCGAAACGCATCGTGCTGCTGCCTGCATCGATGACGATGGCCGACACATCATCGCCTCCATAGACCCCTGGCATGACTGCGAGTGACAGCGCAAGAAGTAAAGCGCGCTTGAAGGCGAAGAAGCGTAGCCGGTCGCGGGACGTTTGACGTGGTGAAGGTATGCCAGATGGGCGCCGTGCGCGTCAAGCGCGAATATGCTAGGTACGTCGTACAGTTCGATCGATGTCTCGCGGAACTTTGTAAGCGATTGAATTGCCTGATCGCACGTTGCGTTGAGTGCTGATCTGCAATCAGTGGGGAGCAATGTTGACAAGTGGGCGTGAAGTATCGTAGGTAGTGCGCTTGTGAGAGGTGGAAAGCTGCCAAGTGAGCGAGACCAGGATGCATGCCCTGATCACGCTCTCGAACGCGAACGGCGCGGACCTTCTTCGCCTCGCGAGAGCGCCGCGGCGGTCGTGCGCGATGAATCACGTTCGAGGCAGGTCACGTGGTGGGTAAGCTGAGCGCGGAAACAAGTCCACCCAAGACCACAATTCGTGAATTCGTGATTTGACTCTGACTGGTGAACTTGAACTGAACCGTAGTTGTTTTCGCCACATCGCTCGCTTTTGGTCTCTCTCCCAGCTTCCAAAGCTGATGTGAGTCAGCTCTTCTCAGCAGCGGCTTTTGGAAACTCAAACTAAACTCAATCAACTCGCCACGAGCTATCAGACTATGCTCATGTCTTGCAAGTCCACGCGCAATCGTCTCACCGGCTAGGCCTCGCTGTAGAGCGGTTTCGGAACCTGACTCGAATGGAGTGTACCACCGCTCAATCAGCATGGGTGTGCAAGGATTGTGGTCGCTGCTGGAGCCCAGCGCAAGGCCGATCAAGTGAGTGGCCAAGAGCGACATGGACTTTGATCCGAAATCACTGCGGCTGATACGGCACATGCACTTCTTTCGCATGATCTGCTGACAGGCTCGAGTCGCTAGAGGGCAAAAGGCTGGCCATCGACTCCTCCATCTGGCTGTACCACTTTCGCATGGCGATGAGGGACAAGGAAGGTCGCACGCTTCACAATGCTCACGTTCTCGGCTTCCTCTGGCGAATCCTCAAGTTGCTCTTTTACGGCATCCGGCCAGTCTTTGTCTTTGATGGCGGTGCTCCCGTCATGAAGCGGCAAACGCTGGTGAAGCGAAGAGAACGCAGGGAGGGCGCCCGTGATACGCACAAGCTCACTGCGCAACGTCTTCTCAATGCGCGACTGAGGCAGGCTGCGCTGGATCATGCTGTAGGCTCGAAGGCGGCGAAATCGAAAGGCACTGCGTCAAAGGCGGGAGGAAGCCCAGCTGGACCGGGCAATGGCATGGTGTACTTCGACGACCTGCAGGGCCCAGAGACCGGCCCTTCCACCAGTGGCGCTGGGCGTCGCGAGTCCGCGTCGGCATCTAGGCCAGCAGAGGGCAGCGCTTCACCAGAGAAGGAAGGAGCAGGTCGCAAGAAGAAGGATTGGCACAAGGATCCCTACGCCTTGCCACCTCTCGAGCAGCAACTGTCGCGCGTCAACGCAGAAACGAGCGCAGCTGCTTCCAAAGGCCAGAAGAAAGGGGCGAGGAGGACGGACTTTCGATTTGCTACAGATTCAGAGATCAGACACTTTTTGACAAGCTTGCAGCCTCAGGATATCGACATGGACTCGGAACTCTTTCGCACACTGCCTGCTGAACTACAGTACGAGCTGGTAGGCGATATGCGCGCAGGTTCCCGAGGCACCTCGTACAAACGTCTGCAGGCCATGCTTGCCGAGTCGCCCACCCCCATCGACTTTTCTAGAGCTCAGATCAAAGGACTCAAGAACCGAAACGAGTTGACTCAAAAAGCTTTGGAAGTGTCCAACGCCATTGGAGATGCCAACATCAAGGTGCCCATCCGCGTCGCCGGCGCCAGGAACCGCGAGTACGTGTTGGTGCGCAATCCTGGCGACGCTGGCGGCTTCACCCTTGGAGTCAAGGAGACGGGAACGAGCATCGACAAAGCTATCGAGGTGGATCCGGAGCCGAATCCTGTCAATGTGTGGAGCAGCGATGAGGAGAGTTGGTTCGGTGATGAGCGGGCGAGCCGATCGAAGACCAAAAGACCGGCCTCCGACGATGATGAAGAGATGGAGATGGAAGAAGTTGTAGGGACTCCTGCTCGACGAGCCACTTCTCCACGGACCGCAGAGATCTTGGTGAAAGCGCATGCCGATGATGAGAAGTCGAGACGCGCAGCAGCAGCAGCCTTGGTTCGAAGAAGGGCAAAAGAGCACGCAAGGCAAGTGGCCAAAGACAAGGGCATTCGAGAGGACAGTTTTCGCCTCGAGGATCAATTGCAGGCTGCTCGTGCGGGTGAGAACGCTCGCAAGCTTTTCCGCTCCAGGGAAGCACCCATCGCGGAGAGGGGCTGGCAACTTGATAGCGAGCGCGCTGCGCAAGGTTGGGAAGACATCGAAGAACTCAGAGATGCGGAGAGCGAGATGAGCGAGGATTACATAGCTGCGCAGCTCTCTGCAGATGAAGCAGACGACTTGGCGCGCGCCATCGAGACGTCTCGCAAGCAGTCCGAGCATCAAGTGGATGGACCCCACCTGCCCGATCAGAACATTCTCACGCCGGACCTCATAGTGCAGGCGCATGTAGACGAGGATGTGGAGATGGAAGACGTGGAGCCGGTGCACTTCATGGCAGATGAGTACGCAGATCTATACAAGGATTTGCCGACGAGGCCACGAGCAAGCGCGCAAGTCGAGCACAAGGTCGTCAATGACGACGCCATCGCCGAGCCGGTCCCAACTCCTCAACCGCCAGTCGTCAACTCCGAGACGAAGTACGCACTGTCAAGGCAGACTCAAACAGACCTCGATAAGACAGACGAAGAAGAAGCACAGATTACACGCAAGAGGGAATCTCGAGATTTAGATGCACAGCTCGGTAAGCTGCAAGCGAGCATGGACGCAAAGGCATCGTCTATTGTATCACCGTCAGGCAAAGCACGCGAGAACCAGAAGCCTGCAGTGGAGGTCAAAGCAGGGCAGACCTCACGGACCCAATGGCATACGTCCGGAGACCCAATGGCTCAAGGCGCGCCAAAGCGTGGGGAGGCTGACGACCGGACAAAATGGCCATCCGTTGCGCCTCGCGAAGAGGCGGCGAATGGCGACGCTTTGTCAAAAACTGCTGAAATGAGCGCGGGCGAAGCTCAGCAGATGAGAGAGGTTGCTACTGCTATCGGTAGCGCAGGGGGCCTACCTGTAGTCCCAGTCGTCCCTGCCTCACCTCCTCCTGGCGCTCCGAAGGATGCCACCTTGGCCGGGAAGGACGCGGTATCGCCAGTAGCCTCTGCTGCACCGATGCCGGCTGCCCATCCCGCGGCGACTTCTGCGCCGTCACCACGGCTGCTTGAAAGCGGCCACGGCTCCATGATGGGGGAGCCGCCTGCAGAAGCGCCTCCCGCAACAGCCGCTGAAATGTCCCAAGATGCGCCAACAGAGCGACAGGCTGCGATGGCGGCAGGTGCAGGTGCCAATGACGAGCTGGCTAGGGTGATCACAAAGAGCACGCCTGGACGTGAGGAGCAACCAATGCTGACGGAGTACGGCGAAGTACGAGTCAAATCAGAAAGTCCGGAGTCGGTGCAGCAAGATCCATCTCCTGCCGAAGGGGACCAGACTCGACGCAACCGATCTCCGGTTGCCCTCGACAACATCCCTTCGGCCATCGACGAAGCAGGCGTCCACGAGCCAAAGACTGATCTTGCTTTGTTGCAGGAGAGCAAAGAGCTTGCGACGACCGCTGACCCTTCAGACCGGGGAGCTCTCTTCAGACCGGATGACGAGCAAAGTGAACCTGGCACACCAATTGCGTGGTCTCCGTCTCCTTCACCAGCGCCAGTGCGGCTGGGTGCAGATGGATTTCCTCTCCCGACTATTGAAGAAATCGAGGCTCTAGAAGCTCAGGACGAGGAGGAGCTTGGGCAAGTGGCTGGAGGTGATGTTGCAACTTTCTTGAGCAGGGCGCGAGGCCAAGGTCTTTATGAGGCTCAGCAAGAGGCCCAGGCTGAAGTTGATCGTCTGCGAGCAGAGTTTGCGAACTCTCGAAAGAGCGACGAAGACATCACCAAGACGATGGCTCTCGAAATCCAACACATGCTGAGGTGCTTTGGTATACCATACCTCACAGCACCGATGGAGGCCGAAGCACAATGTGCCGAACTTGTCAGCCGCAAGCTTGTGGATGGTATCATCACTGACGATTCCGATGTCTTCTTGTTCGGAGGCACTCGAGTGTACAAGAACATGTTTGCCGACAAAAAGAACGTCGAGTGCTTTTTGCTCACCGACATGGAGCGCGATTTGGGTGTGGATCGTCAAAAGCTGGTGCACTTGGCATACCTTCTTGGTAGCGACTACACGGAGGGTCTTGCGGGCGTCGGTCCGGTGCTAGCCATGGAGATCCTCAGCATCTTCAATCAGCGCGACGGACTTTTGCGATTCCGAGATTGGTGGCTCAAAGTGCAAGCTGGCAAGGATACGCCCGAAGATACTCGAGGCAAGACTATGCGTCGCATCAAGAAGACCTTGGCCAACAAAGTCATGCTCGATCCTCACTGGCCCGAAACAGCCGTCGTCGAAGCTTACTATTCTCCTACCGTGGATGAAAGCGACGAGCCGTTTCAATGGGGTCTTCCAGACCTTGATGCCATCCGCATCCTGCTCGCGGAGTACTTGTCATGGAGTCAAGACAAGACTGATCAGTATCTCTTACCTGTCATTGAAGCTCAGAATCGACGTCGAGGGAAGAATCAATCTTCGCTGCTGGACCGCAGTGGTTTCTTCGACTTGAGTGCAGGCACGGGCGTTTTTGCACCTCGAGAGCAGCCCAAGTATGGATCCAAACGTCTGCAGGACGTAGTGGAACGCTTCAGGGCGGCAGAAACAGGACGCAAGAAGGCCAAGTCCTCGTCTCAGCGCTCGGCCAAGCGTTCAGGCCCAGCTGCGGCGCGTCAAGGCAGCCCGAGCGACAGTGACGACGCTACGACGGAGGGCATGCAGGGTGGCGGAGCTCGGACGACGGCAGAGCTCGCTGGAGTTCCCGAGGAGCTGGTTGGCAAGGAGATGGGCAAACAGAGACCTATCGTCAGTCGAACAGAGCAACAAAAGGAGCAGCAAAGACGTCGTAGAGAGGCTCGGGAGCGCGGTCTTGACCCTGCTGACATGGAGGAACTGGACGAGACCGCCATTGCTATCGCAGCGACTGATGATCTGAGGACATCGGGCTCGGACGCGCGTGGTAAGAAGGCCGTGACCGCACCTCGCAAGCGCAAAGCTGTTACAAGAGGCGCAAACGCAACCGAAGAGCCTGGCGGCAGGGGCAGGAAGCGCGGGGCAGATTCCTCGGCAAGTAAAAAAAATGGGAAAGACGTCCAGCATCAGGATTCAGGGCCTCCTGAGAGTGCTTCTACTGATGCACGCGAAGCACAGGATAGTCGGAGCAGTGGGGGAGAATCGGATTGGCAGCCCAGGGGCGAAGCGCGAGCAGCGGCAGCGCAGCGCGCAACTCGAAGCGCAAAGACCACGACGGCGGTGACGACGAAATCCAAGAGAGGTCGCAGTGCGGCGAGAGGCTCCGGACGAGCACGCAAAGATCCACAAATCACGGCGGGAAACGAGGAAAGCAGCGCAGCTAGCAGTCCGGCGCGCGGAGGGCGAGGACCAATGCGACGCGATGCGAGCAATGGAGGTCTGTCCATTCGAGAAGGACGCTCCATGAATCTGGATGCCGTGGGTAGTCTGCCTCCTTCTAGAGCCGAAAGGTCTACCTCGAATTCGCCTGTGCGAAGCCCGGAACATCGTTATGCAAGTCGTCGAAGCAGCAGCAGCCAGAGCTTGCAAGCGCAGGGGCAGTCACGAAGAGAGGAGCGGCATCATATCACCATCGAAGATAGCGACCTTACAGATCCGCTCTCCGAGTGATCATAATCTTTCAAAAAGGTACATATCACACGCGCCATCAAACACAATGTAGCAGTAAACCCTTCGAATGCATTTGTCTCGTAATGCTCGCATGACACCAAACTGCCTCCTAGCCTGGTGAGCCACTCAGCCGATGCGATATGCAAGCTTCTCCAGCGAGACCTGTCCGTGAAGTGCCCGAATTGGGTCACTGGATCTGAGCGTTGTTCGACGACGGCAATGTTCAGGTTAAACCGGCTCACCTTTCCTTCCTGCATATACTTGAAGCCTTGCGGAATGCCCGACAAACCACCGTCCATATGTTTGATGACGTTTCCGCGCAATAGACCGCTAGCAAAGAGGTGCCTAAAGATACCTTGGCTAGTGAATGCTTGCATCTTTGCATTCTCTGCTGAGACTGTAGCTTCGTCGTACGTGGCTTTCCCGTACGCGAACGGATGGCCAAGCACGCTGTACACGCTGGTTGATCGTGCATGTTGCATCGTCAGCCCGGCACATTAAGAGTTCAGCGACACGGATAGGTGGATAAAGTGACTCACAGCGTGTGCACGATCTTGACATCGTTGCGTATTTCGATCGCTTCCTTCTCGGGCTTGAGCAGAACCACGACTGTTCCACCGCTGCTTCCCAGACTTCGAGCGCACAAGCCCTGCGTTCCACCTTCGCTGATGCAGTCCAATGCCGCGCTCAAAGTCGGATGCTGTTTGCTGATGAGCTCCGGAAGAGCCTCTTGGCGATAGTCGTACGTCTCTGAAGCTCCGATCGACCTGAGATACTCGTGGTTCTGCATCATGAGCACGGCCGTTACGAACATGAGCTGCGAGGCAAAGAGAAAGCCCTAGAGAACACGCATCCACTCACCTTGGGTGAGGCTGTCGTGATGACGTGGTAGCCAGCGATTCGACCAAGTTGTACAGCGCTGAAGGAGGAAAGACAAGCGTATGCGTGTGCGATCAGTGCACCGCCTCGAGGTCGAGGCCTCACTTCGCACTGGGGCGAGATGAGCCAACTCACTACTGGCCAACGGAACTTGAGCCGGCCCAAACGAGCAGCTTTGGAGAGTTTGAGTCGAGCGCAGGAAGAGTGTCGGTTTTGCTTGGCAAATTCAATTCCAATCGACTGAATAGTGCCTAGTGCAGCAGGGAGTAAACGAGCGGTATCCCTTGTCAGATACCTCGATGCAACACCAAGTGATGCCCGCGGATGAAGCTGCGGTGCACTCACTTGCGCAGCAGTGTACCCCGCAATGCCGACGCTGGAAGCGACGGCGTCGTCGACGTTGGCAGGAGCCTTGCTAAGCGTATCCGCCCTCGCCTTTAAATATTCGGCAAAGCTACCGCGATCTTCGTACTTGCCGCCATGCACGAAGCCTGCCACTCTGGTCCCCACCGCCAAATCCGTCCCGTTGGAATCCTGCACCGTGCCGCAAAAGTCACAGCCTAGGATTTGAGACGGGGTGGACATGAAGGCTGCGTGCTGCGCGCGTGCAAAGAATGAATGGATGGATGAGCGAACAAGAAGATGAAGGTCTCGACATCCATGAGCGCGAAAAAGGGGGCGCATATAGATATAGTCTACTTCGCTGGCTGCATCGAGACTCACCTTCCAGTCTGTGGGATTGAGCGTGACGGTGGACACCTTGATCAGCACCTCTCCCGCTTGGGGCTTTGGAACGCTGACCTCTTTGACCTCGGTCGTGTGATCGGGTGCAGAGACCAGCGCTTTCATTTGTGCGGGTGCCATGATGCTGCTGAGGTGTGGTCAGGGATGGATGGGGTCAAGGATGGAGGAGTTGGGGGTGGGGGTGAGGGATGATGGGGCCGGAAGCAGAAGGATGGATCGAGGGAGTTTGAGTGAGGAAATCCGTGCCCCTGTATCTGTATACCTCCCCCACTCGATTGCAAGGCAGGCGTGCGTGCAACCAAACCCCACATCGCTCCTTTTGACCGTCACTTGACTCGTGACTGTATGCTCACAATCACTACCGGCACTACTCCTGACTGGCTTGCTCGCTGTACGGCCGAACGACACAGCAGGCTACCTTGTTCGCAACCCCGCCGGCCACTTCGAACACACCAACCGACCTTGATCTGCGTAACACCGGCTACCGCAAACCCAGCACACGATCTCGCATTCATCCATTGCCTCATTTCTGCTCGGAGAGTCCAGCAAACTAAGCAGTATAAGACTCATCAAGACTGCTCATCAGTCAAAAGTCTTTCAAAGTTGCTGGTGTGGATCTTCCGACATGCACATGCTTGCGCGTGTGCGCTCGAGAGCTCGAGATTAGAATCTACTGTGAATGCCAATTCAATTCGCGCATTCAATTCGCGCATTCAATTCGCTGCATCTACGATGCTAACCGCGGCGCGATGAGCGGCAACTCCACTTAATTCGCACTCGTGACGGAGACCCTCTCAGGATTTGCGGCCTTGCCGAAACCGCAGGATTGGGGAAGCACTCAACACTGATCTAGTGCCAGAGCGGCTCGCGTGTGCGCCATGCAAAGTCCAAGTGGAGGTTCATCAGCGAGCGTGCAGCACTTCATGTGATTCAAGATTGCCCCGTGCGCGCGCGAAGCTTACAGCAGAAGCTGGATGGGGAGTCCCACTTCGATCGTGGATGAATGAATGAATGAATGA